AAACTTTATAAAACATGTCCTGTTTATTAACGAAACTTTAAAGATTGTTTACATGTATGTAATCAATTTTGATTGGTTGAGCATACATAAGTTCATATGATCACCATCACGTGACTACAATCTATTTTGTTTGTTACATGAGATTCTGTAATTCTATTTGCTTATAAGTTTCGGCATAAGTTTCGTCAATCTTATAGGTTTCGTCAATTGTCAATTCGTCATTTCAAAATTGGCTTGATGAAAGGTTTCATCAATCGTCAATACGAAAGTTTCATCATTCGTCAAGCATCTTTAATGTGCATCGTATTCCTGCAAAACTGCCCAGCCTTTTCCTGAATTATTATAATCATCGACAAGTTTTGATAAATATTCAAACATCAATTTTCCATTAGAATCACCCAATGTGTTATTATGTGATATTGTTGAAAAAGTTTTGCAACGTAATTATAATCAGGGTTGTGAGCCTGATCAGCAAGTACTTCAAATAATTCTTGATCGTTTGTAATGTTCAAATAGAGCTTATCTTCATATGCATTTAGTGCTGATGTGGGGGAGTGTCCATCTCTAAATAGTTCTAAATATTTATTACACATCTCATTCTTTACGCGACGAAAGCTCAATGACACTGCTGAATTAACTACATAGTTATGGGTAAATTTTATATTAATTTCAAGTGGATGGTTAAATTCTTCAATACGCCAACGTTCCAGTCGAAGATGAATTGTTGCGGCACAATTTACATTACGTATTCTACATGATTGCAAATGTTTCATTTCACGATTTCCTTGCTTTTCCTTCACTTTATTACTGTGAACTCAATGATGCAATTCTCAAAAAAGCACCTGCTTTTCTTTAATGCTATAACGTTTTGTTTCTGGCATGGTGGTTTTTGACCAAGACTCAAATGCCTTAAACCATTCATATGCCTTTTCTTTATTACAAACGTTTACAAATGCATCTATTTCAAATTGAGGAATTATAAAGTATTCAGTGGTCTGCAATGATGGTAATACATTAAATTTTTTAATAACATATGAATAATTTTTAGGAAGTATAGGTTTTAACGGTTCAGGTAAAGAATTCTAATTCAATGTTTGTAACATTATTTCATTTTCATTTTGTTCTTGTTTATCGTCTAAATTGCCTTCGTTTTGATCATTTTCTGGGTCATTATTCGCAGCGTCGTTCAGATCTCTTAGGTTGTAGGTCAGGTCGTTTCTCAGATCATTGTTCAGATTTTCATTCAGGCCTTCGCTCAGGTCTTTGTTCAGGTCATCGTTTAGGTCTTCGCTCAGGTCTTCGTTCAGGTCATCGTTCAGGTCTTCGCTCAGGTCTTCGTTTAGGTTTTCATTCAGGTCTTCGCTCAGTTTTTTGTTTAGGTCGTCACACAGATCGTCGTTCGGGTTATTTTCCGATTCTTGTTCAGGGTATTATTTATCTCACTTTTTTTGGTTTCACGGTTAAACTTTAAAAAAAAAATTTTTTCATTGACGCAATCATTTTGAACCTCAATTTTTTTGCTGTTTAGATTTTCATTTGCATTTCCAGGACTTTTGTTACTAATTTTCATGATACTTTCAATATTTAAGTTGGGATGAATTTTATGAACGTTTATATTTCCCGGGTCGTCTCTGTATTCCATGTTACAAAAAGCTAGAAGAAAAAAAAGAGAAAAAAAAAATCGGCTCCAATTTATATAAAAAAAATGCATCGTTCGGAGTTTGAAAAATAAAAAATGAAATCATCTCTACATAATTATGTAAGTAAAATGTGTAAAAAACGTAAAAAAAAAAAAAAGAGAGAAATTTTCAAAAAAAACTTTTAAGAAAAATTGCGCAAGAAAGAGCGAATATATGTAAGCATTGCTGCATTGCTTACAAACATTCTAATATTAGTCTTATAGTGGCCTTTGTGGTTTTAGAATGTAAGTACGTACATACGTACATACGTACAGTAAGTAATTGAAATATGCATTACGTTTAATTGGCTAGTCGATCATCACGTGTTGTGTGGCTGATGATCCGCGCCACAAACCTGGCACACATTTCAGACGTGCGAAATTTTGATGCGGCAGCTAGGTTCAATCATCAAATGCATGCCGATCACTCAAATTTCATAGTAAAAAATTTACCCCTGTAATCTGCGTGACAAATCGAGCGTCTGATATATTGAAATTATACTTTATGTAAATAAATCATATAAAAAATACTACGTATTGTATAGTTTAAACTTGAAGAACTATACATTTTGTATACCAGCTATACATAATGTATACCACACTGTACTATACTTGTCTGACAAGTTATACTATACTGATACTATATACTCTTTTAAGAAAGTCTACGTAAAACGAATTTCATGTTAATTTGATCATGCGAATAATGTTGGCCAAATCTTTATAGAGCTGGCATAAAAAATTACAGATCCGAACATAATATGGATAATGCTGGTGAAATCATCACGTAATAATCCACTATTTAATGTAGTTACATTACCGTAAATTACAATGTAATTTCATGTAAAATA